GAGCTTTAAGGGAAGCATTCATCTGTAGGTGCAAAATTTCTCAGCTTCGAAGAAAACCTAATCGTTGCAAACATCTGAAATGTTAAAATATTATGCAAATGTCTTTTGTAAAGATACAGACAAAAACCTTGAAATAAACATCATTTCACACTGGCCTCAGAATTTATGTTTAAAAATTAACATATATGCCGTGGATGCACAGAGCATCTCTGAGCGGCAACAGTGGTTATCTCTACAGAGATAAAGATGGGAGGGAGTTTATTGCTCAGAGTGCACCCCTCCTGTGCTTTATGTTTTGTCCTAGCTTAGCTAACCAATTAATTTAATTAAATGTGGTCTCTTCGATAGGCAAGCCAACTCATGCATCCCAGTCCAGGTGGATGACCTTTCTCTCCAATCAGTCCTGGAGACCGACCTTCGCCCAAGCCTGGACCTCAAGTACAATGTAGAGCAAAGAAGTTCCCTGCCTTCTTTCCACCCTGAGCATTAGCAGTGCTGGTACTAAATGGTACAGTGAAGGTAAGATGCTGTCTCCTGACTGTCCCCAGCAGATGGCTGGCCCTCCATCCTGAGGCTCTAGCCCTACCAAGCATTCTCCCAGCCCCAGAGAAGTCCACTGCTTTTCAGATATATCACTCTGGTCTTTGTCTTGTTGTCCCCACCTCTCCACCCTTGTGACTAAATGGCTTTTTCAAAGAGCCTAGTATGCACTCTCTCTTCAGTAACACCACAATGATGAAGGGAGAAGATTTAAGCCCCTCTTCCTCTGGATTCTGGAATGCCAATGGAATACAAGGCAGTCACTACCTGTGTGACCTTGGCAAATTACTTACCCTCTCTGAGCCTCAGTTTTTCATTCTTGAAACGGTGGCAGTCCTTATATCCTCAAAGGGATACACACAAGAAAGAATGAGCTCAGTTATATGAGTTGCCTAATATAATACCCAACACATAGTAGGTATGCAATAAATATGAAATGACATCATCATTATCAGTAGTATTAAGTGGTTCTCACTGCCAAAGGATGATGCTTTCAAACTTCCCAGGCGCACACACATTTCCAGCTCTCTGTCCTAAGACCTGCATGCAAGCAGTATGCAAAAGCAAAAACCTTGAGCCAACACTTAACATCAGTTCCTTCAACTATAAAGTGAGGATAAGTATTTCTTCCTCACCAGATCAGGGCAAAGATTACCAATAATGTTTAAAAAGCAGCTGGCCCAAAAGAGCTCACTATATCTTGGCCACTTTTACTTTACTCAAAGGGGGCTTATCTGGCCGCTGGCTCCAACATGCCTTTCCCTCTTCCACCTCCACATCTTTGTTCCACCCACTTTCCCTGCCTGCCCTGTCCATTGCCATCTCCATCTCTGGAAACTTCCATGAATCTTTCTAGTCTCAGTCCCATCTGAGAGCTTTTGACCATGATGGCTTTTCCAACCTCTGAACTCATAAAGTATTTATCTCCTGTCAGGAAGCAGGAGGTAGAAACCCAGAGGATTCCAAGATCTTTCCTCTGTGGCCATTGTTAGGTCTACCAGAAATTAAGAAGTCAGGGAATTGTGTACAAAAGAACTCCAGTCACATGGGGCCAAAGAGCAGGTCCCCAGTGGACTCCCCTCGAGCTCACTTGCCCTTCCAAAAGTCAACCCCCTGAGGCCTTATTCAGGAGTATCTCATAACAGAAAATGGCCAATTGGTTCATTGATAGATCACAGCACACTGGGGCTTCTAGCATGTGGACAGGCAGGTGAGCCACTGGACACATCAGCTGGTGTCCGAGAGCAGCTGCTGTTTCCACCTCCCCATGGGCCTGACTCCAGCTGCTCCTACATCCATTCACTGCAAATCAGACTGAGCCACTCCTCTCTGTAAACACTGGATGGTATCAGCAGTGCTGCTAGAAGACACGGCCATCTCCTTAGCATGTCCTCCAAGACTCTTTACAGTCTGACCCCAACTCCCTTTTTAAGCTCTTCTTTTGTGACAGTCACCTCATGCCTCCTGCTGTGCCCCAAATCTACCATCCTCTTCCCTGCCTCCTAGTCCCCTCAACTTCTTTACATAATTAATCCTACTCATGCTTTAAAACTCAGATGTTGTCCTCTGTGAAGAACCTGCCAGCCTTCCACAGGTAGAGTTCAATCCGTAGTTCTCTCACCAGCCTCCTGTTGCTGAGCTCCTCACACAGGACTGCTTACTCCTCACTCCCCATAAGATCATAAGCATTATGAGATTAAGGGTGATTTTATAGCCTCTGTATCTACCCAGCATGGTGCCTGATAACCATATATTTTATTTAATACATTGATGAAAGAAAACAGAACTAAATGAATGAATCGGGCTGCTTCTAACAAAAGACGCCACCTTTCCCAGCCTTCCCCATCCATGTGCGGAAGTTACTCTTGGTTGGTAAGAGACTGTACATGTCAACAGAGCCATATTTGCAAAAGATGGGCACTCATGGGGGTTGGAGAGGGAAGTACTGTGTCTAAAATAACACCCCCCCCCCTAAAAACATTATGTCAGAGGGGGTCTTACCTTTCTGTATTTCTTGTGTTCACCCTCCTATACTCTTGTACAAGTCTGATTTCATTTTTTTAATATCCTAATGAGTTTTTAATGTACTGGGTAGCTATCATCCCAGTGTGAGAAGTCCTGTGTCCAGCTGCTGCAGTTGTTCTTTGAAGCTCCATCCCCTGGATTTTCCCCCTGGTAATTACTGAGCAATCCATTTTCACCTCTAGGCCTAGCATCTGTGGCAAGGGTTCCTGCCTGCCTGTTTATTTTTTTGACTAATTTAGTTCCTTTACGTCATATGACTTTCAATGACCCACATGCAATATAGGAATCACCCTAGTAGGACTTTCCTTAGGTTCACAGAGACGTGCTAAGTATAAGTAATAGATCAGATTTTAAATCCAGGCAGAATGAGTCCATATCATAGGCCCCAAGGAAAGCTTATAACGCTGTTTTATAAAGAGAACCAAAGAGCTTCTTGATCTTTGCTATTTTCCAAAGGAAAATGCCTCACCAAGTACATGCTTCCCTATGCATTTTGTAGTGGGACATGTATGGGGTCAGGGAAAGACACTAAAAACTTGCCCTAGCCATTTTAGCTCACATGTATTAACTGCTTAATGCAGGCCAGGAGCTGGGCCAAGGCCTTGACATGCCTTGCTTAATCTTCCCCCAATTCCTGCGAGGTTTTTATTCTGGTTCTGCAGATGAGGAACCTGACACACAGAGAGGTTGATAATTTACCCAAGGTCATATGGCTCGAGGGTGCCAGCGTAAGCTTTTGAAGTCATGTCTGCTGGCTCTGGAGCCTGAAGGTGTAACCATTGCCCTAGGCTTGTTCACTGACTTCTTGTTCAAGAGTTTTCCCAGCATGTGTAATTCCTAGACAGTTCTCATAAGATCTTACTCCTTTGGGCATTTTATACTATATTCATATGATCCTTTCTCTTTAAAAAGCTATAATAATTATTCAAGAAATATGATTCAATATTCATCATGTACAGAAGAACAGAACTTTTCTAAAAATTTTTTAAATAATAAAATGCCCCACAAGGAAAAGATTATGTCCTCTTGACCCACATTTTAAAAATTTTGTATAAAATGTCTAGAGTAGGTACTAAATGACTAATTCCCTTTGTCATTGGAAACATACAATTGTATAATGTGTGTCGCTGGCTGTCCATAACCAGACAGATGTGTTTTACAAGGGAGCTCATTTGGTCCTCAAGCATTTATTAAGCATGCCCTCTAATGAGACTGTTGCTGGCAGCACGTGGAAACAGGGAGGAAGACCACATGGCCCCGGCTCACAGACAGACCAGAACATTAGTTCCCCCAAAGCCAATACGGCAAGAAGTTCAGGAGAGAAAGAAATCATGACCAACTTGAAAAAGATCAACTTGCTTTGTTGGAAAAGGCTCTTGAAGGCCAATTTCTCATCTCCAGCTTCTTTCATTAGTGTTTGACCAGTATTGAGAGGGCCAAGCCAAAGGTAAAGCTAGGGTAGAAGAAGCCACAAGCTAACTACAAAGAACAGAGATAAAGAAACATATGTGCCTGGCTGGCATGGCTCAGTGGTTGAGCATCAACCTATGAACCAGGAGGTCACATGCCGGGGTTGTGGGCTCAATCCCTAGTGGGGGGCATGCAGGAAGCAGCTGATCAATAATTCTCTCTCTCAACAATGTTTCTATCTCTCTTTCTCTCTTCCTCTCTGAAATCAATAAAAATGTATATATTTTTTTAAAAGACACATGTGGCTTGCCTCTGAGCACAACAGCCTGACTGAAAATGGATTAATTTTTGTTTCCAATGGTTATTAAAACAGGCAACATATGAATATGCTAAAACAAACTGAAGGTTAAGCAATACAAAGTATTAGGCTTCCTTTCCACCTTCAGAGGCAGCCTGGTTCATGGGCTCCTTCAAAAGAGGGGTCCATGCATTTATAATGGACAAGGTGTATAATGCCTTCAGCTTCTTGGCTTCTCAGGACTGTGAGGTGGCCCATTCCTAAGGTCTGGCCACAGGGATGAGTCAGAAATGTGGGGAATGCAGAGTTAAATCAGGGAGAATGCTCCAGGCTAGTGAACACAGAGCCCCACCCTGTTGGCCACCTTCTGCGTGCTGGGACTGCAGGCTGTGGACAGGGGAGGGGGAGCCAGAACTTCACTAGGCACTGCACATCTTTTGCAGAGGAGCAAAGTATGTAGTGAGCATGGAAGGCAGATGAGAGATTCTGGAAAATTCCAAGGAGGTAAATATATTTTTATTGATTTCAGAGAGGAAGGGGGAGGGAGAGAGAGATAGAAACATCAAGGATGAGAGAGAATAATTGATTGGCTTCCTCCTGCATACTCCCCATTGGGGATCAAGCCCACAACTCAGGCATGTGCCCTTGACCAGAACTGAACCTGGGATCCTTCAGTCCACAGGCCAATGCTCTACCCACTGAGCAAAACCAGCTAGGGCCCAAGGAGGTTTTACTCACAAGGCAAGTTGGGCCAGCTGGTTAGGATTTCCTTGCTGGGGAGCTGGGGAGAGTGCTACCCGGTGGGGTCTAGGGCAGTGCCTCCGTGGTGAAGAGAGAAGTTTTTAAATGTCTGCCTTCCTAAAACTACTCTCCCTGCATCTCAGAAGCACCCAGCTGGTGTGTATCCTCCAGAATAGCAAATCCAGTTATCTGTCTCCCTATTCTCTGATATATTTATAAAGTAATGAATGGTCCATTAACTAAGTTAGGGCCTCTGTCTTTCTACAGTCACCTCTTCACGTGCATCCCTCAGCAGGAGGTTGTTGACGTGGGCTGCAGCCTTCCAGCCTCAATTCCCTCCCTTCACCACCTCCCCTACTCTTCTCCCTCTCCCGCCCCTCCCCGGGTTATTTGGGAGATTAGAGTTCATTAATTAAATCCTGTGCTTAGATCGAACTGTAACATTATTCCAATCACATTTATCTTGCAGGCGGCGGAGGAGATGGCAGCCTCGCTGGAAACGCGCGGGGGAGCTTGAGATCGCAGCCCCAGACGCACAGCGCTGCGCACTCCCTATCCTCCCGATCAGCACCGCAGCGCAGACCCTCCATCTTCCTGCTCAGCTTCCCCGCCCGCTCACCCCAGCCTTGAGGGTCCCATTTCTCTCTGGGGCCCTGGCCCATCCCCACACCTCCTCCTGCCTCTGTGGCTCCCCGACCCGGTCCCCTCCCCCCAGCCCCGCCACACACGCTGACACGCGCGAGAACACACACGCCTGACACGCCAGCGAGCTGCTGGCTGCTCAATGGACCGATTTCCCCGCTGTTCCTGATCCCAGCCCAGCCCAGCCCGGGATGAGAAATTGCAAAATGGCCCGGGTCGCCAGTGTGCTGGGGCTGGTCATGCTCAGTGTTGCCCTGCTGATTTTATCGCTCATCAGCTACGTATCCCTGAAAAAGGAGAACATCTTCACCACTTCCAAGTACGCCAGCCCGGGGGCGCCCCGAATGTACATGCTCCACGCGGGATTCCGGTGAGTGAGGGCCTCCGAGCGCCCTCGGGCATCTGGTATATGGGGGAGGGGGAGGGCAATGAGGTGGGTGTTTGGGGTTCTCTGAGCTACTTTGGGCAAGATAAACTGCGTGGTCCTTCCACTCCTCTCTTCGATTCTGCCTCCTCCCTTTTGTTTTTTAACCCAAAGCCTCTAAACTCTATAGATGTGATTGCATTTCTCGAATTCTTCCTTGGCACCCCTTCCCCATTTTCAAAATGAGGGTAGGGTTTAAGGAGAATGATGGTCGAGAGAGAAGCACTGTGTGTGTTTGGGGGCAGGGGGAGGTGAACCGGGAGATGGACGTGGGTGAGGTGAGTGCCTTCCCAGGGCCCTGTCCACAGACTCCGAGGCCGGGCTCTGGGCAGTCCAGAGGCGATTTAATGGCGCAGGCGCTGCACTCCCCTTGTAACCTCCTCCACTCCCATCCCTCGCCCCCCATATACCATCAAATGTTGTGCGAGTCTGCTCTTACCAAGCCCCTGGGGTATTTTACCTTGATCCTTTAACCCAGGCTGCCACCCCCGCCCTCCTAAGGGCCTCCTACCCTCGCCCCAGGTCTAAGCCACAGCCTGGAGCCAGGCTGGACTGGGCAGGGGCAGGCTCCAGGCGCAGCTTGACACAACTCATGGGGACCCCCTGTCCCTACCTTTGACCCCCTAGGAGCTCTCACAGCAAGGCCTCCTGTTGGGTGGGTGGCAAATACAAGCTGCCACTCTGTGGTCCAAGCAGGGCCAGAAGTGCAAACCCTAGAGAAGCCCAGCCGGGCCGGTAGCTTCTGGGGTCCCCAGTCAGAGACTGGGAGTGAAGTCAGACCTAAACTCGGGAAGGAAGAGGTTAAGGCAGCAGCCGCCCCTAGCCTTCCCCCGGTCTCCCGAGGCCTCAGCCCTTTCCCTAAAAATCAATTCGCCGGGGCAGCCACCAGCGTGGCGCGGCGCTGTCCGCGGTGCTGACTCCTGGTCCTCACCGCGCATCAGGCTCCAGCCTTGCGCCCGCGCCGCCCCTGCTCTCCTCTCCGCAAGACGGCCATTTTATGGTCTCTCCCGGACCCAGAGGGATGGACAATGGAAACGGATTTCCCTAGTTCTTTTTCTTCCTCCCGGGTGTGTGTGGGGAGCAGAGAGTGAACCAAAGGAGAGGGGGCCCTGTGGTGGGATGGAGCCCGTGTGTGCGCCAACCCCCCCCCCCCAGCCGGCGGGGCGTTAATGGCTCCCTTGGCTTCCCCAGCTGAGGCCAGCGTGTCTATCTGTACTCGTACTCCTCTCCAGGTCACAATTTGCGCTGAAGTTTCTAAATCCGTCATTTGTGCCCATTACGAATTCTCTGGCCCACGATCTTCAAGACAAACCTTCTAAGTGGACATTTAATCGGACAGCGTTTTTACATCAAAGGTAGGCTAGGGGGAAAAGGTCCAAAGGTATTTTTGAATTCTGGAGCTCAAAAAAGAAAACAAAACAAAATAATCAAACAAAAAAATTCTGTCCCCCACCCTGAGATGTGATGTATTTGCATTGCCTTCTTGGCCTAAGTGTACAAAGGCTGATTGGAAACCCTTTTGTATGTATGCAGTGCCCTCTCATAAAAAGAAAACATCAGGAAGGCCAATTTGAGTGGGAGAAAAAAAAGGCATTTCCAATATCCTCCATAATTTGGGCTTAGTTGAGCACCATGATTTATAGTTAACATGCATGACTGCCAAAGCCATCTATTTTTTTAAGTTAATTGTAAATGCGTTTTCATTCCCCCACTGGAAAAAAAATGTTTAAATAAAATAGTATTGTCTCAGTGAAACAACCAGAAAATACTATAATTCATCCCTGTCAGATTACTATGAAAATCTTGGCCCCAATATATGCAGGTACTTAAGAATGGTTTTGTCTACTTGTTTTCATTAAACTTTGACAGTTTTTAATATATTAAAGTATTTTAATAAAAGCTACCCAATAGCATTCTTATGTGTTGTCTTGTAGCAGCCTCCTTTTTAGATGAAGGAGTTGATGTGCTATAGGATTAGCAGTTGAGGTTTTGGTTTTGGGTTGTTTTTGTTTTTGAGGTGGGGAGGAAGGATTAGATTTATTCAAATGTATTTATTCTCCTCAGTGATTCTGGTCTACTTTTAGCAACCCCCAGATAAATCATTATTCCTCCCTTCTTGGTGGGATTATTATGCTGCTAAATGTAGGCCATCTAGTGTATTCATTAGGGGTGGGAGCACTTATTTTAAATTCTTATTTTACCAGTCTAGTTAGGGGATTGTGTTTTGGTCAGAGCATTTCTAATTATTGCCTCTCTCTTTTTTAATTTAATGATAGATTTAAAGCAAATTTAATAGATATCCATGGTGTTGTGAAAATGTTATTTACTTAAAAAGTTGACATACTTATTTGACATAATCATGTGATCATGATGAAAACTTTTAAAACACTTTAATTAAAAATTAACCTATGACAATAATTAACTCTAAAACCCAGGAAGTGCCTTTTTTTAAGCATTGGGTTTTTAATACAATATTAATTTTATAGAAAATCTAGAAAACATTAATGGGTAGGACACGTTATTCCTTTTCCCAAAACATATTTTTAATTCAATAAAAATATTCTTCACACACTAGGCCATGTGACCCAAATGACCAGCCAGAACAATATTTCTTTCTCAAATCTTCCCTCCTTTCAATCCATGCATTAGGTAATCTTTAATTAATTTTCCCAGCATCATTTTAAACTTACTTTTACCTTTGTAACAACTTGTAAAGAGCAGTATTGATAACTTTGGAAGTTTTGTATTAAACTTTCAGTTTATGTTGCTCTGTACTTTGACAAATTAAGTAATTTAAAAAAACAAAATTCTAGGTAAAGTAATGATATGCAAAGCATTTAGTCTCAATCTTGCATTTTTTTAATGCAAAAAACAAAGAAAATTCAATGTGATTTCTTAGAATTGGAGAATCTTATAGCAAGTTACTCAGCTCTCTTAAATATTTTAAATAGCTGGGACTTTAAGAGATGCTTAATTTTACTAAAAGCTCAACATGAAAGCAACCTGAAATTAGTACTAAGTATCACCCTCACCTTGTTTATTCTCTGAATTCTTAGAATATACACACTTTTCCAGGATTTGCAATAGCCTCTTCTTCTGAGGATTAGGTATCTCCAACTAAATTGTGTTTCTATATAATCAAGTAGAAAAATATTCCTGTTTCATTATTCAAAGGACCTTAATGAGATTATCATCTCATTTCCATTAAATATTCAACTACACTCACTTCCATCACCATTTTCATATTTTAATAATAGATAATACTATACTGACTCATATCCAGTTGGCTCTTATTTGTACACCAGTGATATTTGATATTCCCTGCATTTTTCTTCCACACTTCAGAAACTGTTACCAGTCCAACAGCAAACAAGTAGTCCCTAGTACAAACTCTAAGTCACCAATGTGTGTGCATTAATGTGAGCTCCTTGGGGCCTGTGTCAATTGTCTCCCCGTCTTTCTGACATAGTTTAACCTGTGCCTTCCCCTTAATCAAATATACTCTTTATGTAGAGCAGAAAACCAAAGAATAGCAGCTAAAACTGTTAAGTTACAACACTTACAAGCCCTGAAGGAATACATTCACAAATTGACTGAGAGATTAACATGTCTATAGGTTCTGAAACAGTCTCCCCTCAAAGACCACAATTATTATGAATGTATAATCTTTCTTGGATTCAATGTGCCTATGATTCTTGTCTGAATGAAATGGCAGCATAAGACATAAGATGGAAAATCAATTTTGAATGGGATGTATTTAATGAATTTCTTTTTATTTTAGGCAAGAAATTCTTCAGCATGTCGATGTAATAAAAAATTTTTCTTTGACCAAGAATAGTGTTCGGATCGGACAACTGATGCACTATGATTATTCCAACCATAAATATGTTTTCTCTATTAGCAATAACTTCCGATCACTGCTTCCAGATGTGTCACCCATTGTGAATAAGCATTATAATGTTTGTGCTGTGGTTGGAAATAGTGGGATCCTGACAGGGAGCCGGTGTGGACAAGAAATAGATAAGTCAGATTTTGTTTTCCGTTGCAATTTCGCCCCTACGGAGGCTTTCCAAAGAGATGTTGGAAGGAAAACCAACCTTACCACCTTCAACCCCAGCATCCTGGAAAAATATTACAACAATCTTTTGACCATTCAGGACCGTAACAACTTTTTCCTCAGTTTAAAAAAGCTCGATGGGGCCATTCTTTGGATCCCTGCATTTTTCTTCCACACTTCAGCAACTGTTACCAGGACATTAGTTGACTTTTTTGTTGAACACAGAGGTCAGTTAAAAGTCCAATTGGCTTGGCCTGGGAATATAATGCAACATGTCAACAGGTGTGTATATTTTATTGCCTTTAACTCATACCCCACCAGATGGCAAATCAATATTGTAATCTCTTGGGGGTGGGAACTACTGGATTAGTTCATTGTTGTGGTTAGCTTAGTACTTTAGGGCAAACTCCTGTGTTTTGTAATGAATGAATGAACCATTCTAGGTAAGAAGTTCAATCTCCTACCCCTAGTTGGTCACTAAATTCCAAATGGGGGGACTGGTGGTTCATCATCCTACTGTCTCTATTCTCTGTCCTCTGCCTTAGTGGTAAGCCCCCCCAAGCAGTCATGAATCATCACAGATCAAGAATTTTCTTTAAATGGGTAGCTATGGCCTAATAATGCCAACTGCAAAATTAGACAAATTAAGTATTTTTTTAAAGATGCAATTGACTTAAAATACTTTTTTATTTGATATTTGGATGTTTTATAGATGTCCAAAATAGATGAACACATAGATAAATCATAAATTGCATAATCTGCCTTTGAAATTTTGGATTTGAATGAGAAAATATGTGAATAGTATTTTATGGGCACCTTGTTCCCTTGTAATTTGATAGACAGATTGACCAGAAATGCAATATTTTTATCTAGTCTGATGACTCCTAACTCTGGCTATACATTGGAATCATTTGGATAACTTTTTAAAATACTGTTGCCTAGGCTCTACTTCAAGAGATTCTACTGTAATTGGTCTGGTGGAGGAGGAGGGTAGGGGCAGGTAGTTGGTATGTCTTCATAACTCCCCAGATGATTCTAACATGCAGTCAGAATTGGAAACCACTAATCCAGGGGCATTTTATAAAGCAGTATTAATTGTAGTTTTTTTTTCCTTTAAATCATCTGAGGAAATTTACTCAACTCTGATTTACCCATATGCAAGTAGCCCAAATGTACTAACATGTTGTCCAGATATTACTACAAGTTACAGTGGGTTCTGGGAGGCCTGGTGAAAACAGGGAATTCCAAAGACTTTTATCTCACAGTAGATTTTCCCGTCCTGTACTCCCCTAAAGTTTTCCAAATTTAAGATCTGTTTAGCTCACCTCTCATAGAAGGAAGAATCATCATCTAATAAACTGGTATGTATTTAACAGGTAGGGTGACACCATCATTTAAAGTCCAAACTAGAACATTTTATTTGAGAGAAAGAGGACATTATTAATAATTACAAGGACTGTTCCAGTTTTCCAGGTTGTATGGTTTTGCAGCCCACACAAGAGGTAATGCAGCCCAACTCCTAAGTTTAAAGATGAATTAACCAAGGTACAAAGAACACGAGTTATTTACCCAATGTAACTGTCCAAAAAGGGGGCAGAACCAGAATGAGAAGCTGGCCTCGCCTGTGATCTTTTGACCTCATCATTTTGCTCCTCTCTTGGCTCTATTTAAATTCTGCAGTACCAAAATATTAGTCACTATTCATTCTAACTCCTATTAAGTTAGAATATTAAAACCAAGATTGAACATTTACATTTCAACTGGTATGGTAAAGGATTATCTTTAAAGCCTTCAAGTAGTGAAGAAGGAACTGTATATGCTCAGAAACTTCAGGAAACTGGCCTTTGTGTCTGCCCTGCCCCACCTTTCAGAAGGTCCAGAGAATTAGCCGTAGTGTCCCACAGCCACCCAGGCTTGAACCAGACACACTGATTCAATGAAAACTTGAATGAAATACAGTCCATAGAAACTGATTCATGAACAATTTAATTCTGCTACACAGCCAATGATATAAATACACACACACACACACACACACACACACACACACACACACACCACAGCTGTCTCAAATATTTGGCATTATAGGAAGAAAGGCTTCAGAATACTATCTAAACATGGAAGTAACAAGAACCATAATTTAGCTTTTTTTAAGTTCAGAAAGTGTATAAATACTTTTTTTAGGTCCTGACATGCTAAAGAAGGACTTGGGAAGCTCTAGTTGGAAAACAAAGGAGCAGGGAATATGATTTTTTATAAGAGAGTATTAAAATCTTTCCAAACCCAAAAAGAAAGATTTAAACTCTAGGTTTGGAAAAGGAAGTGACATAAGAGATCCCTTCAGAGTAAACAACCCCCTCCCACTCCCAAGGTCCCCTTGTGTATGAGAAGCCTAGTCACTCTCACAGGCAGGCCTCTGTGGTGTCACCACTGAGTCAGAGCCCTAGAGTCTAGGCCAGTGATGGCGAACCTATGACACGCGTGAACTCATTTTTTTGGTTGATTTTTCTTTGTTAAATGGCATTTAAATATATAAAATAAATATCAAAAATATAAATCTTTGTTTTACTATGGTTGCAAATATCAAAAAATTTCTATATGTGACATGGCACCAGAGTTAAGTTAGGGTTTTTCAAAATGCTGACATGCTGAGCTCAAAAGGTTCGCCATCACTGGTCTAGGCCAACCCAGAGGCAGGGTGGGCTTCCAACATGTGCAGCCTTGTGGTTCACACAGAAGCCCGTTTTTAGAAGGGCCCAGCACCTGGTTTAATAATCTGCTACTGCACTCTTGAAATTCTCAATACATTTTACAATGAGGACCTACATTTTCATTTTGCTCCTAGTCTCACAAATTATGCAGCTAGTCCTACCCAGAGGTGTTTTGTGGTCTAAAAGATAGATTCAAAGCAAGTACTGTCAAAGTTGCTTGGACAAACTGACCTCCCAGCCCAGTCAAATGACCTCTGACCGAAACTTTCAACACTGGCCACTGAATCCACCTATACTTATTGTTCCACAGGTACTGGAAAAACAAACATTTGTCGCCCAAACGGCTGAGCACAGGTATTCTTATGTACACCCTTGCATCAGCAATATGTGAAGAGATCCACTTGTATGGATTTTGGCCTTTTGGATTTGACCCCAACACAAGGGAAGATCTTCCATACCATTACTATGACAAAAAAGGAACCAAATTTACCACCAAGTGGCAGGAGTCCCACCAGCTGCCTGCTGAGTTTCAACTGCTGTACCGAATGCATGGGGAAGGGCTCACCAAGCTGACTCTGTCACACTGTGCCTAAGAACTCCAAACAGAAAGTGCCAAATGGTGGTTTAAAAAGTGCCCCAAATCAAATTGAATAGTCATCAGAATAAAACCCTAGAGAATTTCTTATAAGGACTGTCTGCCATTTAAAAGGAAAGATGTCTCCTCTCCCTCTGTTGCACTGCTCTCTTAAGGGTCTTAGCAGGACAGATGCATTGAAGCCACATGATTAAAACCTGAATGATAAATGGAATGTTGCATTTGGAACCATGCTGCTAACAAATGGTTTGACGTATTTTCCTGTTTGTATTTTAATAATAAACTGCCTCCCATTTTTATGAGGACTGGAGCTGGAGTTTCTGCAGCTTTGCTCAAGATATAGTGCTCATAATGACAGGCCTCTGGTCAACTTGGGCAGGATTTCATTTTTTCCTGTGTGGGATCGGACTCTTCAAAATGGAAACATAAAAAATTGTTATGCATATCTCATCTCTCCATCTCTATCCTCCTCTTTCCCTCTTTCCCTCTCTCCCTCTATCTCTATGTCTCTCCTTTTCCCCACTGCCATGGAGTGTAATAATTTGCTGGGCATCATAGTGAATTAGTTTTGCTTGCATATGTTGCATCTGTATTTGATGTGTTCAAAGCTCTGGGTAACTTTGATGTTTCATGACAAACTGAGCAAATCATGATGGATCTCGTTATGATTACTTTGATAAGAAATGCCTCTTATGAAGTTCTCACTATCGAGACAGTCTTTCTACAGCAGAGTGGTCCATCTGTGGCAAGTGTCATATAATGCAGTGCATCTTTTACTATGACAGAGAAAGCCTATGTCTTGGGTGGCATGGCCACTTGTCATGAGTGCTATTATGGCAAATCATTCTGTTGCCACATCTGCAAGGGCATTCCAGCCTGGGTTTAGTGCCTCTCACAATCCCAATTCAAGCACTGGGCTGGGAATACTCTCAGAATATAGAAGCAATGAGTCAACTTAAGAGTCTGGGACATAGAGAAAGAAGAATGCTTAGAAGTTTTCATGGACCCCGTATACCTTAAAGTGTTGTAACCATGTTGCCCATTCAGAGCCTTTGAGAACCAGCAAGATTTGAGCAAAGTAGAAGCTTCAAGGTTGGCCAGGCTCCCATTTGAATAGTGCTCAGGTGAGATCAACTTCACCATCATTGTGTCCACCAGCACTGCTCCAGAACCATTTTCTCTCTTCAAGACAATTGTAGACACTGGATATTCCCCCTTCCCACTGAAATCAGATCTATACATCTACAGATCAAGTATTTCAAAATGAAAAGCCATTGTGCAGTGGCAAAATCTGGTACTAAATAACTCTTGGAATTTGAGATGTGCAGACTTGCCATGAAGAAATTAGTGAGCCATTCTCTTTTTCATTATTTCAGCCTTAGAAGTAGAAATCACATCACTTCCACCCGTGGCTTTTCACTGGGCAGCATTTTGTTCTTCCAATTCAGCCCAAAGTCTGGCCAAGTTGATGTTAAATTTTAATAAGAATTTCTTTCTTCTTTCCAAATGCCAGTCAAGCATATTTATAATACATTTGGGTGGGGTAGCTTGTTCTTTTCCAGAAATCTCATTTAGATTTCTTGCAATGTTACAAATACTGTTGAAAAGAATTGCTGTAGTTCAGTAATCGATCAGCTCACTACCCCAGCCCCTTTGGGAAAGTATAATCATGCCTAAAATTAAACCAAATACAATATGGAAAGACATAGTCCTTATGCTCATGGTCTGCCTGGTTCTGAATGGGAGCTGTCTTATTCCAATTTTTTTTAAAAGCTAATCAGAGAAGCCTACATAGACCCAGATATTAACTAATGAAAGAAAAACTATACAGGTTCAAATATGTTGCCAATTGTGACATCTTACAACACTGATTGATGGCAATCATCCAAATAGATGGGGAGAAATAGGAATAGATATTTCAAAATGGAAAACACTAGAACAGATTGATATTTGAAATAATTATAAATTTCTAAATTTTAAATTTCTAAATTCAATGGTATAATTTGATGCCTAGCAAAACCATGCTTGTTCCCTGTCACTCTAAAGAGGATGCTACTATAGTTCTCATGCTGGGCTCTGTCAGGATCACTGCAAGATTGATAACTGACAAAATGTTTAGTTGGCTCTTCCTAAGCACTAAGTTCATTAGGTTATAGATAAGTGATATTAATGCCAATACTGCACAGGCCAGATTTTGACTCTAGACTAGAGTTTTAATCTCAATGTGCCCATTAAAATTCACTAAATACAAATATGTAGACACTTTGAACCAGACAAGTTAAAAAAGCAAAGAACCAGAATCCCTAAAACCAGTTAAGTCAGTGGTTCTCAACCTTCTGGCCCTTTAAATACAGTTCCTCATGTTGTGACCCAACCATATAATTATTTTCGTTGCTACTTCATAACTGTAATGTTGCTACTGTTGTGAATCGTAATGTAAATATCTGATATGCAGGATGGTCTTAGGCGACCCCTGTGAAAGGGTCGTTCGACTGCCAAAGGGGTCGCGACCCACAGGTTGAGAACCGCTGAGTTAAGCGATCTATGGTGGAACATTTAAATTAAATCTCATCATAAAGCCAAGTGTTTGTTGGGTTTTTAAAATCTCATTTCATTCTTGGCTCCATCTTAATCTAGAGTGAGAGAACTTTTCCATCTCCCAACATCATTTCATCTTTCACTTTCACAAGAACTCAAAATGTTGAATAAATGGACTTGTGCCCCAGAACTAAAAGGGCTTAGAGACCAGGCTTATATCCTGTTTCTAGGAAGGACTTCCTAAGCCAAAAAGATCACTCTTCCCCTTTCTTTAAAAATCTCTGAAGAAACTCCTAAGCCCTCCCACAGTAGTTAACCACCATTCTTATAATTTATAAATTTTATATACAGCCTACTTTCCTCCTATTGCAAAAATTAGATGCAATATGTAGGTAAAGCATTTATCCCAGTTTTCAGCTTGTAGTAAGCACTCAATATATGGCAGTTTTTACAGTTATTTTTATTGTTAGTTATGCCCTTGACCTACAGTTCCAGCATAGAGAAAAACAGCCTCTAGCTCATTATACAAAATCTCTTTCTGTTTTTAAAGACTGTTTCAAAGATTAAACCTATATGACCACTGTCATGACCAAAAGAGTTGGTGAATCCCATAAGTCCTGATATGAAAGGCAGCGGTGCCAGTAACCAGAACTTCCTGTGTGGTCAAGAGCAGTGAACTGGGAAGGCAGGACCTGTAGCTGGATCAGTTGGGTCCCCCCTCATGATTCAGCTACAGATACAAACCCCTGGCTTTTTCATTGCCCTTGCTTTATTGGTTCTAGGTTAAATGCATCCTTTGATAGACTCTTTCTTTTTTACCGATATTCACAGCAGAGTCCACCCTCAACATCTGGAATAAATTTCACCATAAAACCCCCAACACATGATACCAGTACAAATGACCAATTCAGTTGCAGAGGTAAGAAAGCCCCACGAACATTTAGCAACCTGCTTAATGCTAGTCCCTTAAGTTTTCATGGTTGTTCTGAATGTCATGCACAGACATGTAGTTCCAAGGGAGACCGATTTAAAATGTGATATCAAGAATGCCTCCCACACCCAGAAAATCTTTTTCATATCTGATCATTAAACATCTATGGTTCCTCTTCCTTTGCTTCTGTGTCTTAAATGTACTTAACCTTTGTAAAAGTACTTGTGCTTAGTAGTATCATGTGCCTAGCAGTGCTGACTGTGACCACTGTGCCATCTGTCTGTGACTTTGATATCAGGCACCTGACCATGGGGCTACCAGCCAGAATGTGCAAAGGGAGAGGCTGCCTCAGCCTCCTTGTGCCTGAGCCTCCAGTTATCCATGAATGTGAATGCCAGGACTAACCTATTTGGTGGGGAAGCCAAGGAATGGAAGAGCATTTCTTCTGACTTTGGGCAAGGTACTAATTATTAAACACTCTTACACAGCAAATAGATGTTGACCTGAGGCCCAAGGAAGCAGGAACAGAATTGTAGAACCCTAGGCCACTGAAATTGGAAGAGCCTTTGAGCATCTTTAGTCCTAATTCTTGACGTTACAAATGAGAAATGGAGAATCAGAGAAGCTAAGTGATTTTCCCAAGATTGCATAGATAATCAGTGAAGCAATTATACCTCCTCATCTAATATTTCTTGGCCTTATCAGCATCCAATGAAGATGGGCTCAAAGGGAAAGTGATTTTGGTCTGGGGTTCACAAGGCACAGAAAATAAGTTACAAAAGCTGTAAAGGAGAAAAAAGATACCCCAAATTATTTATTTCTCAATGCAAAACTATAACGGGGATTCTTACTTAGCTATACAAAGTCTACTGATAATAACATACATTATGCCTAAAATGAGAGGAAACCTTTTTGGTAAATTATGATTCTGATAAATCACAGTTCAGTTACTGATGGGTCACAGTTGACAGCTGGAATCTTCAATAATCTATTCATCTTAATAAAATCTTGTTTTAGTGATATGTATGCATAATTTGAAAGTTGAATACTGAGAATGGTTATGTATTTCTCCATATGTATATTCTCAGCTCAGACCCCTTGAGGTAAGAAATACCTTTGTCAATGCCTTCCATGTTGTGAGCAATTTCAACAGCATACTTTGTATTACTACATTTAGTTCAATATGCTAAGATGTGCAAATAATAATGAATAATTTGGGCTGGGTCTTCATGTGCAAAATGACAGAATGAGCAGTTTTCTGTATAGTTCTAGATCTCTAAATCTTTTTTCCCCTAATTGTGTGAATGTACCAGGCAAACATATCTGTTTGGCCTCTATTTCTCCCTGAATGTGCAGAACTGTTCTTTTTATTTTAAAGAGAGTTGGGGCTATGAGTGTGGCTGGAAAACCCCGATGGAGTATCTAAGTATTGGGGACCTAGAGCCCCCCGGGGCCACCTGATTGACCTGTCTTGGATCTGTGGCCCAATTAATCAAGGCCACAGGTCAGTGGACACCAAGGACCAAAATGACTAAATATGCCTCTTTCACACTCTGCTTTACCACAGCAAATTTTAGAACATTGTTATTGTATTATGCAGTATTTCTTAAAATGTCTTTTTATTGTAATGAATTATTGAAGATATATGTGTTTGAATAGATGTTTTAATTTGTAATGATGCTCATTCTCTTGTTGATTACAGTGGAATCACAGTAAAGAGCCTGTCATAGAATAATTGACTGCAATTTAAGACCACAATGGGTTATAGGGTTAGGACCTGGATTATACTGCTGATCCACCAGCAAACAAAGTTGTATGACATGAGAAGCTCTTTAACGTATGGTTCTTGCTCCCCACACTTTTGACTCTATGTCCTGGGATAAACCCAGCTTACAAATCCCAGGTGATTCTGGGGTGGCCATCATTTGGGAACGAACAATATATAGCAAAGTCATACATATCATTATCACCAAAGTAGCTGAAAGCTTACCACTCCTTATGCAAGTAGCAGATCTGCTCCTTGAAGTTATCAGGATACATGGCAACACAGATATAGTCTTACTGACTCAATCATTCAACTGTTATGGCTGAAGTGACCAGTCACCAATTTGTAACAAATATTAACTGGCTAATTTGTCAGAATGGATGCAAGCCTGAAGATAGAGTGGGGAGACATAGCTTTAATATACTTTACTCCTAGTCTAGCTCTTTATATTTCAAACTAAGAAGCAGATCTCAGGTAACTTATCTTTACAAATAGATAGAGAAGCAGGGAAGTTAAATTAATCATTCAGATTCTACTTGGATATCATTCCCAGAGCTCAAAATGTTACTAAAGGGGTCTTATTTCTCAACCTCCAGGTAATACCCCAAATACAAATGTCCCCATGTTAAAATGAAACCAATTTTTTAAAAAAAGAAATTCAAGAAGCTAAAATTCTTAAGACCAACTGGGTATATGAGAGGTCAGTTGGCACTGGTTGCCTGTGCCAACCCCTATTGACTAAGGTGCCCCCATCCTAAAGAAGTTTTGGCCTTCCATAGCTGTGCACATGCAGAGCCTTTAATCATCACAGATAGTAAAGGGCTCCTTTAATTTCCCTTCTGTGAGACTGAGAGACAATTTTAGCTCTTTGATGTGCTGATAAATGTTCAACAATTGGCTCTAAAGAATGATTAAGTCCTGATTTGTAGCACTTGCCAATTTCTGTGGTGTAAATACTCTCACCATAGCCAATTTCAAGCTACTAAGTTGATGTCAACCAGCTGAAATGTTTTAAAGAGCCAATCAATTTCTGAGTCAGTGAGTACCAAATGGGAGATGCTATCAGTGGTTTTGGAAGAATTCCCAAGTACACCCTCCTCCCAAGGAAGCATTTCTACTTTGGTTCTACTAATTTTTAGTATATTGTTGGGTCCCGAGGCTAAGGACCCTAAAGTGTTCAAAATATTCCCTAACATGTGTCTCTTATGAACCTCTCAACATACTCCTCAGCACCTTAGGAGATTCCTAGCCATGGCTTGTCTAATTTCTAAGGGTGACTTTCCAGGTAAACCTTTGTATTTAACTGCCAATTGAAACAATGTTTGGCTGATCTTATTTCATATCCTATAGTCCATCACCTATTTCTCTACTTCTCCAATTTTCCCTGGGCACTTGCTTTTCATCTTTCTGACACAACACAAAATTTACAGGCATCAAGAAGAAATTAGTGCCTATAAAGGAGCAGAGG